TTTTGGTTTGATAGATTGAGCGAGAGACTGATGTGCAAGGGAATGGTTGTATTGTCAGGAAGCTTCAATTTACGAAATGTAGGTATGTCCGAATATCAACGTGTTTTGTTTGTAGCTAGTGAATGTTGAGGACATGGTAATTCATGTTGTTTTGTCTGTGGTAAATTTGACAATACCTGATAGAAAGGTAAGTACAGCTGATGTGTAAAATAAGTTTGGCTACTTATGTTTGAAGGTCTACGTAAGTTTTACATTAGAATTGTTAAGTAATAACATTAAGGTAAAAGCTCTGTAAAGTTGTATATGAGAAAAGTGAGAGCTCTTGAATACATTTGAAGCAGAGATGGCTGCAGGTTTGGGATGACTGTGTGTATGTGACCCCTCCCTTGCTCCTTGATGGACAATGGCTGCAGTCTGTGTGTAGATGACCACTCCCTTACCTGTCCTGTGTGTCTGTGTAAAAAGGTCTGTGAAGCAAGACATGTTTTGACCAGCGGTGAAATGACTACTATAACATGTGATGTTAAAATGAGGGTGATATGCAAGGCAAAGGGAAATGTTGCAAAAATAAAATCCTAGTTGAAATTGTTACTTTTTACTATGTAACTCTAGGATTATTTGAAACACAGAAAATATAATGGCTGATTGTGGTTGACACCCTTTTGCCAATTGTAGCCGACACCCTTTAAATTCCGGAAAAGCAGCCATGGTTATTATATTATTTAAATGTTTAGCTATTAGCTCTCTATTCCAGCCTACTGGGTGTAGAAAATAAGAAGGGATGGAATGCAACTTAGGCTCCACCCACTGACAAAACCTGTTTGTACCCCTTTAACGACTGTAAGTTGAACAAGATAGTTGACTAGTAAAGTTCTGTATGACATATTAAATTTATAACCAAACTAAAGAGTAACAGTTTAACCACTTTATGTCCGGACACTTTCACCTCCTTCCTTTGGAGGCCAATTTTCAGCTTTCAGGGCTATCACACTTTGAATGACAATTGTGCAGTCATGCAACACTGTACCCATATGAATTTTTTAGCATTTTTTTTGAGACATAAAACTTTATTTTGGTGGTATTTATTCACCACTGGAATTTTTTTTTTTTTGCTATATACATCATTCACAGATTTCACACGAGGTAAGCAATGATATCAGAAGTGACAGCTTGTTTACTACTATTCATGTGATCACTGATTGGCCAATCAGTGATCCCATGATCGGGACCTCACACAGGTAGCTCGCACAACCTGAAAATACGGGCGCAGTTTATGAATGGCAACCTGCTCCTGCACTGCTCCCGCCTTGCCGTTTATGTACATGGGCCGGAAGGGAAGTGGTTAAGTTTGAAAAATGGTGAATGATCACTAGATATGTACATGTATATCTTTGTATTGTCCTTATTGGCGATTGTAGTGAAGTGTGATACTTTAGAATATAACACTACTGGTTTTTAAGTTTTTTTGTTAACACAGAAGGAACCAGATCTGCTCCTAGATGTTTAGGAGTTTCCAAGAACTGTATGAGATTCAACAACAGGATGAAATAGAAAAATCAAAATGGATGGTGACGTATAATGTTTATGCACAAATGTGGTGAATCTGTGAATGTCATCTTAACCATGGTAAATTATTGACAACTTCTGATGGAGGACCTTTAATGAAAATGCATGTGGTGATCATTAATGTATTAATTAATTGATACGAGCTAATTTATTATGGGTAATAGAGTGCACTCATGAATCAATAATAATGGCCATATTTTTTGTGTCTTGTGTAATATGTGTTCTGTGCTAAACTTTGTTTATTTCTAGAAATGAAATGTATTGATACCTCACTAAGACCTTTTATTTTGTTTAGTGCCTAGATAATACTAAACAGCATTAGTATATGGTTGATTGGAAAGAATTAAAGAAGATTACAGCTTCCAAGGACAACTTTCGTCGTTATGTTATTGTCATTTTTATGTAAAATATGAATGTGATGAAAGTCGCTGTTAAAAGTAATTGTAAACTTGGCAGCAAATAATTTTGATGCTGCATGATGGCTATTTAAGAGTTTTCTCTGTTAAGTTGAATATGAAACAATAGAGAACTTAGTGTTTGATTATTAGTACTATTGTTTTTACATCTGGGATGGTTTACCTATTTTTTGTGTTTTGAAAGGTAAAGAATACCGAAACATTTACACTGAAAATGTGGTTGTACATCTTTCTGTATTTTCCCTTCCTGTGTGTATTTAAGAAAAAAAAAAAAGAGTCCACAGGATGTGCACAGTACAGGGAGAGAAAGGGTAATACTATAGTAAAGGTCTAACTTGTTTACATGAATGACAGCTTGAATTTATGCTAATCATATTTTGGTTTATTGCAATGGATGCAAATTTTAAAGTAAGTCCTTTAAAATAAGGTGCTCAAAATACTGATATATACCTTGTTATATCTGACACTCAGCGATCCTTAGGCCACCACCTGAATAGTAAATTATCATTATGAAATAGGTTCCCAGGTTTGATTTTCCTCAACCCTCCCCAATTGCTTTCTGTGTGGGACCGGCATGTAGAGTATAGTGTCACATATATATGGATAATTTGTACACACATATTGTAGAGAAGAGCCAGTTAGCCTGCCAGAATATCTTTAGAATGTGGGAGGAGACCGAAACACAAACATTAAGTATTGTGAAGTATGGGCCTATAGTTTATGCAGATATAGAGTAGTGTAGAGTTCAGGTGGTAGATGGGTGGTGTTCCTGTAACATTTCACCTTTAAAAAAAAGGCTGAGTTTTTCTTTAGTGTTAGGTGAGGTCACTAGGGATCATGGATTTACCTGTTCAGAAATCTATAATGGGCTATATGGACATTGTTATTAGTTATGGAATGTTGGATTGACAACCTTGGCAACACACCTACCTTGACGTCAACCAGAAGCATGTTGGAGAAAGAAGACAAAAGCTTTTGACAGCAGCAACCATCAGTAAAGACTTTGCCACTGATCAGCAGCTGAATTGTTGGTGCAAGTTCCACCTACTCAAGTGTCTGCATGTCTATGACTTGTGAACTGTAATAGTCTGGAAGATAAAATGGACTTTGTATTCTACAGTTCTTTGAAATTTACAATGTTGCATGTGTTGTGCTGCAGCTGCGATCTGATCATCGGATGACCAAGACTCTGCTGTTCAGATATGGCGGACTGTGACAAATTTCTATGCTTCTAAACTCTTGGAAAAGAAAGTATGATGTTTGTGTCTGCTCCTGTGCTTTCAAATTCTTGAAAGGAAAAGTTTGGTGTTCTTTTGTTAGTCCAACATGTAGTTTTTTTTAATGTTTTTTGAATTTTGGATTTTTCAGCCCTAAGATAGCCGAATGAAATTTTCTGTGTAGGTTGCCTTATATACAGTGGGAGGCATCACTGTATATTTGTGAGCCAGGGGGTGGAGAGATGGGGAAATTGCATATTTTATATTTGCTATGCTTGAGAAAGGAGTGCGCGGTCCTTGGATCCCGCGCATGCTCAGAAACACGTTGCATGCTTATGACGTCACACGCCATCATCGCTGCTCTAGAGTTCACAGAGACTTGCCAGTATTCCACATCAGGCTTTCCATCTACACCTCTCCAGCGCTTCCTGCTGTCCAGCCGGTATCCTTGCTCATTGTTTCCTGAACCCAGCTACAAGGCACTGTGCACTTTTAACTATTTTATGAACCTACTTACTACCTGTCAGGGCTCCCGGGTATGACCAGAGGTGTGTGACTGACGCAGGGAAACGCAGACTTCAGATATGTTATAAACAATATAATTTATTGACACTAACAATACAAACATAAACGCAGTGCAATATTAAAACATAACACAGTGCAAACGAACCAAACCAAACCACCCACAGATAACAGTACATACAATGCAAGCGTCGTCAGGCAGGCCGGGTCAATATCAATCGGGCAGGTAGGTACAGGGGGAGCAAGCGGAGAATGGTCGGGGTCACAAGCCAGGTTCAGCAGTAGCGGGCAGCGTGGTACAGAGGGTCAGGCAGAGGGATGGTCAGGAACGAGCCGGGGTCAGAGCAGGAGAAGTCAGCAGAGGTCAGATCAGGCAGGGTCAGCAACAAGACAGGAACAGGAACAGGATGCAGGAACAGGATACAGGGCCCAGGAAAAACACACACCAAGGCAGAGTCTGCAGGTCTGGCCATCCCTTAAATACACCAGTATAAGCAGTTTCAGGTGTTTAGCTGGCTGCAAGGTTGAGTCTCTGATTGCTGGGAGCACCCGCTGGCCAGCCCTGGTACTGCAGCCCATAAGGCAGACGAGTCCCACCATTGCTGGCCAGTCCATTCCTGACAGTACCCCCCCCCCTCAAGGAGCGGCCTCAGGACGCTCCAAACAGTCCTAGCTGGGCAAAATGTTCCACCGCCCGGGTCTGGTAACTGGCGGGATATCAAAGACTGGCACACCGGGCAGAACTCCGGGCAGAGGCACATCGGGCAGCGGCACACCGGGCAGCTGCACATCGGGCTGGACTCCGGGCAGAGGCACATCGGGCTGGACTCCGGGCAGAGGCACATCGGATCACCAGGCGAACAGCAGGCAGCGGGCCACCAGGTGGAGCAGCAGGCCCCGGGCCCCCAGCGGAGCAGCAGGCACCGGGCCCCCAGGCGGGGCGACAGGCATTGGGCCCCCAGACGGGGCGACAGGCATCGGGCCCCAGACGGCGCGACAGGCATCGGGCCCCCAGGCGGAGCGGCAGGCACCGGGGCCCCAGGCGGGGGGGCGACAGGCATCGGGCCCCCAGACGGGGCGACAGGCATCGGGCCCCCAGGCGGGGCGACAGGCATTGGGCCCCCAGACGGGGCGACAGGCCCCGAGCCCCCAGACGGGGCGACAGGCATCGGGCCCCCAGACAGGGCGACAGGCATCGGGCCCCCAGACGGGGCGACAGGCATCGGGCCCCCAGGCGGAGCGGCGGGCGCCAGGTCCCCAGGTGGAGCGGCGGGTGCCGGGCCCCCAGGAGGGGCGACAGGCATCGGGCCCCCAGGCGGGGCGACAGGCATCGGGCCCCCAGGCGGGCGGCGGGCGCCGGACCCCCAGGCGGAGCGACAGGTCTCGGGCCCCCAGGCGGAGCGGCGGGCGCCGGACCCCCAGGCAAAGCGACAGGTCTCGGGCCCCCAGGCAGAGCGGCGGGCGCCGGACTACCAGGCGGAGCGACAGGCACCGGGTCACCAGGCACGACAGTGGGCTCCGAGTCAACTGGCATGACCGCTGGCACTGGGTCAGACAATGGATCGTCTGGCTGGACAGTGGGCATCGGGTCACCAGGCATCAGGTCACTTGGCTCGACAGCGGGCACCGCGTCATCTGGCAAGGCAGTGGGCTCCGAGTCAACTGGTATGACCGCGGGCACTGGGTCAGACCACATTGGATCGTCTGGCTGGACAGCGGGCATCGGTCACCAGACATCAGGTCATTTGGCTCAACAGCGGGCACCGCGTCATCTGACAAGACAGTGGGCACCAAGTCACCAGGCACGACAGTGGGCTCTGACTCAATTGGCACAACAGCGTGCACGGGTCATCAGGTACCGGATTGTCTGGCTCGACAGCGGGCATCGGGGTCACCAGGTATGACAGCGGGCACTGGGTCACCAGGCATCAGGTCATTTGGCTTGCCAGCGGGCACCGCGTCATCTGGCAAGGCAGTGGGCACCGGTCACCAGGCATTGGATCGTCTGGCACGACAGCGGGCATCGGGTCACCAGGTATGACAGCGGGCACTGGGTCACCAGGCATCAGGTCATTTGGCTCGCCAGCAGGCACCCGCGTCATCTGGCAAGGCAGTGGGCACCGAGTCACCAGGTAACGACAGCGGGCTCTGAGTCAATTGGCACGACGGCGGGCACCGGATCAGGTACCGGATCATCTGGATCAACAGCGGGCATCGAGTCAACTGGCCT